GGAAGAGGTACTCGGTGTGCCCTGCGATCCCGCGTGCCACCGGCCTCCCGTAGGCGGGCAGTATCGCAACGTCGCGCTGCCCTTGTCCTGGCCGAGGGAGGAGCCATAGTCACATCCGGAGGGCTTTCCTCATGTGAAGCCTGAAACCTTTGCTTGCCTTCGGGAAGCAAATACTGTTGAGAGCTTGTAAGTGCCCTAGAGCAGTAAGCATGTGGACCTAAACCAGTCACTGTCCTGGGGCTTCCTGGGACCCCCCCGAAGGGTCACGAGTGACATCTGCTGGCGTTCGGTGGAATTTCTGCTTCTCATCTGGGTCCCTTCTTTGAATGCAAGAGAAAGCCCTCAGTTTGTTTCCTGGGACTTTGTTACCCAGCACTGAAACAGATGGCGTCAGCAAAATCGTTCACAGGCGTTTAGATGACAACTTTTATGGAACGAGGTCTCTTAGTAGCAGCAGGGTTGAGACCCCACGCGTGCGTCACTGTCTGTCAGTGCGGTCAGGAGGGTGGTGGTTCAAAAAGTGGTAAGCGGTTTCATTACGGGAGAATGTACTCCGCAGCCGTTCAGAATACTAGTCATTATGTTAATGAGTAGACAACTGCCTAAAGGATCGTCTTTGAAGTAAAATTGTAAAATTGTCTATTTTTCGGCTTGTAACAAATCTCCTGTTTGCATTGTCTATAAACTGTCTTTCAGAGTACCTGTCGGTATGTCTTTATATAATATAGAGGAGTTTGTAGGTTTGTTTCCTTATATTAAAATCCATTACCCGGAATTCTTCCTCTTCAGGGACATTGCTGCTCGGAATGTTCTGGTGTCCTCAAACGACTGCGTAAAATTAGGAGACTTTGGATTATCCCGGTATATGGAAGACAGTACTTACTACAAAGGTAAGGAATCCAAGCAAGCAAGAGGCGGTAGGCTCAGAATCCTTAACGATTCTTACGTCTTCAGAAGGTGTGCCCTCGTCCGCTCGGCTGAAGTGTGACAGGGGTGTGACACCAGTTCACAGCCTTCTCCACGCCTCCTGCAGCAGCCAGACTTCCACGGACGACACCTTACATCAGCCTTGCCTTACTGCCCATTAACTCACAGTGGGTCAGGGACTTCATTCCAAAACATAAAGCTGGAGAGCTTTTTTGAAAACCGTAGGAGTAAATCTTTGGGATCGAGGGCTTTGACACCAAAAACAGGGTCCATAAAGGGAAACACCTGACAGAAGGGACCTCATCCAAATGAGAACTTTTTGTTCTGCAAAAGACCCTGCGAAGAGGGTGAAAAGGCAAGGTGCAGACTGGGAGAGGGTACTGGCCAACCACAGTGCCCTCCTACAACCACGGGCCATTCAGCAAAGGACCAGTGTCCGCAGTGTGGGGTGAGCTCTGAGAATTCAGCAGGGAAAACAAATACAGACTACGACACCGACAGCAGGTGGGAAGGGAAGCCGCACTGGAGAGGATACGAGGAGGGCAACGAAGCCTGTGCAGAGGCCTTCGGGATCCCTAGCCTTGGGGAGATGCGGGTTCAGACTGTGAGGAGGTATTTTTTCACGCCTGTCGGAATGGCTACAGTCAAAAATAGTGATAACACCAAATGCTGGCAAAGATGCAGAGAAACTAAATTGCTCACAGCTTGCTTGTGAGAATGTAAAATGGTCCATTTAAAACCCTGGAAGAGTTTTGCAGAGTCTTAAGAAGTTAAATATGCACCTACCATACAATCCAGCAGTCACAATGCTGGGTACTTCTCTCAGAGAAACGAAAACTGACATTCACACAAAACCTGAGTTTAGATGTTCGTTGCGACTTTAGTTCCAGTAGCCAAAACTCGGAATCCCCTCCGATGTCCTCCAGCCGGTGAACCCAGTCCGACCCGCACAGAAAGGGGGGCTGGGCCCGCTGGCTCGCCGAGAGCAGTCAGACGGAGAGATCTCCAGTCTGTTCGCGCCGTAGGCATCAGTGCGTTTGTTTTAGAGCAGAGATTTAGCTCGTGTGCTTTTCCTTTAGTTTTGTCAATTTTGGAATCAGATTGACTTGGTTCCTTGCATTATTGAACAAGTCTTTTTAGTAATAAATTTTCATGTTCCTAGTACTTGAGCTAAGGTTTCAGTTATAAATCCATACCATGCTCCTAGTATATATTCTAAGGATTACTACTGTTTTAGAAAGGCTAGTTTCTTTACTACTTAAATTTTTATGTTGTGGCAAAATGAGCCCAGGTTTTTACATACAAAATGAGTTTCCTTCATTTTACACCATGGCTCACGGCTCTTCCCTTTCCGTGTGCCCACTGTGTGCTGCAGCCTGGAAAGGTTTCAGTAGTGGCTCTGGGTTACATGAAAAGAAAATTCTTCAGCTGTTTATTCATTTTAGTTAGTCATTTAACTTAAAAATGGCCAAGTCGGTTTTCTGCTGTTTTAAAGTACCTCTCGTACCCCACCCGAGCCCTGACGAGCCCAGGCGCGGGACTCCCCGTGAAGGCTGAGCCCCGAGCAGGGTGGCAGCCGAGGCCCCACAGCACGTGGGTGGCATCTGTAGTGAGCAGCTGACAGGTGCGTGTGCTTGCTGCCGGCTCAGGTCCCTACGTGTACAGTCCGTCGGGTTCCAGGAGAGCACTCCTAGAGGTCAGCGGCCCTTCGTTCAGAACACAGGTGCCGAGTCGCTGGTTTGGAAGGCGCCGCACAGAGGATTTGACCTCCGTGGCCGTGAAGGTGCTTCGAGTGGGAATAAATCCATGAAGCAGAGCCGTCTCCTGAGAGTGGTGAGGGGCGCTGGGCGCTGGCAGAAGGAGGTCCAGACCCTGTGGCCCAGGGCTCCTGCCCCGCCCTCCGCAGCTCCGCGCCCTGCCGGTGCCATCCTGACCCACCGCTCGCTCCTCGGCCACCTCTGCTTCCGGAGCACGTGGCCTTGACCCAGCGTCTGTGCTGCGCCCCCCGCCATGTACGAGTAGACTCTGCTTCCACCTCTTAGGATTAGAACTCCTCGAGAAGGGGGACCCAGGGCTGCCCACGTGGTAACCGCACGGCCGAAGGAACGTTCAGTGGGGTGCTGAGTCCTTTCCTTTGTGGCACAGAAGGAAGGTTTGTGTGGCCTCGAAAGCACGATGCTTCAGGCTGTCCTGAGGACTGTACTTTCTCATTCCATCGTCCGTCCTGCTCTTCACGTACTGGTGACGGCGTCGTCGCCAGTCCTCCCTGCGTAACCCGAGTTGGCGCATTCGGCCAGTCACTGACGTCTGTAACTCGCAGTCATGTGGTGCTTTCGTAGGAGCAGCGGGCATCTGGAGCCTGTCTTCGCTGGGGCGTGGGGACGGGTGGGGGCGGTGCTGGACGGCCCGAGCCCCTCTGGCTCTGGGCCAGGGCCTGGCCTTGAACGCCAGCTCTGGCACCTGGCGGTGGGGCGGCCTCTGGCAAGTCACATAACGTGTCTGAACCTCGTTTTCTGAAGAAAAGAGAGCCTACCAGGACAAGTTGTTTTCGGGGCTTAGGTTGGAATCGATGTGAGACGTCGTACGTGTACGTATGTGTTTCCCTAGAAACACCGGTTCCCTACTGGGAACGAGAGCCGACCACGTGTCCTTAGCAGAGGCTGCAGCCTGTGGACGAGGAGCTGTCGGGGAAACCGCCCAGCTCCGCGTGACCGGGCGCGGGGCTCCCTCTCCCTCGTTCCCCGCCTCTCTGCGGAGGGAAGGACCTCAGTGTTTTATCTCCCTCCCGCGGCGTCAGCAACTACGCCCAATGACCTGACAGAAAGGCAGGAAACAGAAAGTAGCTCTCCCAAATAATCAGAGTCCAAGGGGTCAGATGCTTAAAGCTTTTTATTTTGGAAGTAAAAGTCTCTGCTAGCTGTAGCTGTGAGATCCTTGAGCAGATAACAAGGAAAATTCACTTTCTAAAATTAATCTTCTAGCTTCCAAAGGAAAGTTGCCTATTAAATGGATGGCTCCAGAGTCCATCAACTTTCGACGTTTTACCTCAGCCAGTGACGTGTGGATGTTTGGTGAGTATCGTGAAGTTTCGTGTTGTTACGTTGTGCTTTGTGTATGCTACACGACGTGCATGGCGTCACCTCTTTTCACGGCGTGGGCTGACGTGCCTTCCCTCGTCTGACCGCTCCTTCGCCGGGCACGGGGCACCAACCGAGCACCAGCGCTGTGTGTCACTTCTGGGAGGCCCCGCTCTCGCCCTCTTCTCCCCCTTCCGTCTCGCTCTGCCGTCTCTGCATCCCTCCCTGGGGGAGATCTTTCCCTTCCCTCCCGTCTCTCTCTGCCGTCTCGTCCGTTCCTTCCGTGTGACTGACCGTACGTGGTTCACCTGTCCCTCTGGTTCTGTGACCGCGTGCTTCGTGGGTCTGGGGTCCCGTCCCGTCCTGGGGTCTGACCTCCTCCTGACTTGTCTCACGGCCTCACGGTTTGCTCCTGGGTCCTCTGTGGCTTCTGCCCCGATGCCTACCCCGTGCCTTGCCACCTGCTCCGGGTCGGGCGCCGTCCTCCTCCTCTGTGGGCCGTCACGGACCCTCCTGAGTGGCGCGACGGTGGCCCTTGCTCCGTCACATTTGAGACCAGTCTCCCTTTTTGATACGCACGACACTCCTTCCCCACCCCACTCTTGTGGCGTAACTCCGTCTGCCTGGAGCACGTCCTAAGCCCGTCTCCTCTGGGTGAGATTCTGTCCCACTGTCGGGGCCACCCCAAGCGTCCCCTCTTCTGCGAAGCCTCCTGTGGCGGGTGCGTCCTACAGACGGAACCTGCCCGTCGCCGTGCCCCCTGCGCTTTCTCTCTTGGCCACGACGCTCAGCATTCATCTTGTGAGAAGTCTGTGTGTGTGTTTTCTCTGCTAGATCTTAAACTATTTCAGAGGAGATGTCTTCGTAATGTTATGTACCTTTTTTCCCTGTATTTAGAAATAACTTTACGTACATCGAGTCTGTGTTCCTATTTTTTCTTCTGTGTACTGATTGTTGGTTTCATCCAGCGCCCTAAGTAACAACAGGTGAAGGAAGGAGCTTTTTAGCAGAGTAGGAAATCGCGTGGCACAATTTAGAAAGGGCCCTGGGGTCTGACGGACACGGCTCTGTGTCCCAGAGCCCCGCTCATCGGCTGTGTGACCCAGACAGCAAGTTGAAGGTTGCTGTGAAGGGAATTGCGGTTTGCACAGAGTCCACGGTGCCTGTGTTTTCCCATTTTAACTTCTCTGCAACTGAGGTGTGTCGTAAGTCAGCAGCGTGTCACGGTCGGTGTCACTGGGGGGGTGTGGCACGTGGTGCCCTGCCTGCACTCGTACGGCAGCTGCCGTTGCCTCCTCGTCTGCGTGGGTTTGAAAGCACTCTTTGGTAGGACGGAAAGAATTCTTAGAGGTTTTCTTAGAGGATTGTGTCACATCCCCCCCTTTTTTGGTCACATAAAATAGTGGTGTATATTCTAGCCAGTGACATCTTAGATTTATTTGATAGGATGCGGCATTTAGAGACATGTGAGGTGTAACGATTCAGGACATGTAAATTTCAAAGCGCCAGAAACATTTTAAGGTCTCAAGAAATGACGACCTGCGTTGTCGTTACCAATAACGTTGTCATGATTTCTGGTGAAAAACGCAGAGCTAAGGCGGTTTTTTGGTCACGCACTCTTCACTTTGAAATGCCTGGAATTTGGATCCCGTCGAGACGTAATTCACATGGGTACGATGCCGTGCCCTGCTTCCCCAGAGGCACACCCCACGTTAGGTACTGCGGACACCCCAAGTGCGTCTCCTCCCTTCAAGCACGTTACACGCGCACGGGTAGGACGGAGACCCGTGAGGCTTTCCCAGGGGGAGTCCGTGGGGAGAGAGCCGAAGGGGCCCTAAGTGTGGCGAAGTTAACACCAGAAAGGCGCGTGTGTGCGGTGCGTTTCGGGGGGGGTGGAGTCCCCCACTGTCGCGGCCAGTCTGCCCTCTCGGTTCCCCGACCGGAGCTTCGTGTGGTTGTCATTCTCCGCCTTAGGCTCCGTTCGTCTTTCTTTAAACGCGGGCACTCGAGCATTGTTCAGAGGAGCCCGAGAACGCGTGTGGTCCGCGAGGATGCAGGGTGAGTGAGGAGGCTGTGGGCAGGGCCGCCCCGGCCCAGGGAGTCTGGAGCACGCGTAAGCCAGTGACGGTGCCGATGAGCACCCTAGCCACGCACGGCCAGCCTCGCGAAAGGAGTCCGGGTGTCCTAAGACGCGAGGCTTGGACTTCGGCATTTTCTTCGTTAGGCCTCGGGTCGGCTGCCGCGGTCACCGGCAGGTCGGACCGCAGCGGGGGGAAGGCAGGATTCATTCAGCTTGTTTTGAACTGGTTCGTGAAACGTGAGGGATCACCGTCCCCGGTGGGCCATTTTCTAACACGGGATGTTTAGAGGAGTAAACCTCTTCGAAAAGCCGTGGGCTGTTCGGGTCATCGTTTCCTCTTGCGCCGTTCACGTCAGATGAAGTTAATGGTGCCGCGCTCGTTCACCGCAGAGCTCACGGAGCGCTGTCTTATCTGGCCGCTCAGGCCGGAGTCCCACAGCTGGTCCCCTGGCGCCAGCGGTGAAGCCTCCCTCCCCCGCCCCCCGACTCCTGGGCCTCCCCCGCTTCCTGCGAAGTTCACGGTCTGTTTTCATCCCGCTTCACAGGTGTGTGTATGTGGGAGATACTGATGCATGGTGTGAAGCCGTTTCAAGGAGTGAAGAACAATGATGTGATCGGTCGCATCGAGAACGGGGAGAGATTACCAATGCCTCCAAATTGCCCTCCCACCCTCTACAGCCTTATGACGAAATGCTGGGCCTATGACCCCAGCAGGCGGCCCCGGTTCACTGAGCTCAAAGCTCAGCTCAGGTAGGAGTGGGGGAGCGAGGGCCGGGGCTGGGGCAGGCTCACGCGGCTTCACCCCCCTCGCAGTCCTCGCGCCGCGAGGTCCTTCTGTCCGCACGTCTAAGGCTAACTTACTCGCGGGCGAACATGATGACTTTCTTAATGGGTTTGCTTTTATCTATACTTTGCTAGACTCCTCAGGACATTAGGCCTTAAGATCTTAATAAGCTTCCAATCACGGCCGAATCTCTCCTCCCCAACTTCTGACGGACTTAGCCCGGCCGACGAGGCCCACAGGAATGTCGTCCCCGGCTGCCCGGCAGTCCCGTCCCCAGCCCTCCTCCCGTCGCCGGCTCCCAACCGCCTGCGCTTCTGGCACAGCCCGCCATCTGCGTGCTCCTCCGCTCCCGACACACGACCACCTGTTTGGTGCCCAGAACCCTGCTCAGATGTGACCCCTTCGGGGGCCTTTCCTAATCAGCCCTGCCCCCAGAGAGATGGCCACCCTCCGGAACCCTTTCGGTACTCCTTCTGTTACAGTTAAAACACCCCCCTGCCTGTTGCGCGGCCATCTGGCGGCTCGTGCTTGGTGCCACGCGCGGTCAGACTCAGACTTTCGGTAGCTCCCGCGCCCCTGGAGGGAGCACACGGGGACTTGGCGGCCTGCGCGGCCCCTCAGGGTGTCTGCCCACAGCGGACCCCGCCACCCGGCCTGAGGATTCCGCATCTGCGCGTCTGGTCCCCGGCCGGCCTCCGCGCTCTCGACGGGCATCACCGCGTCGTGCTCATTTTTGCGGCCCCGGCACAGGGGTCTGATACGTGCTCAGTGAACGGTTGCCGAACTGAGGTCTAGACTGAGACTTAGCACTGTAAGCAGTAAGGTATCTTCACGCGATACATACCCACGGGGAGCCTCGTTGTGTAACCAACGCCGTGGTTGAACGTGTGCCGTTTCACCGGTTTCACGCTTCCTCTATTTTGTGTGCGAACTTTAAAATTTTGGTGTATTTTAGGTTTTTTTCATAAAAATTACCGAGCGTCAGGATCCAAGAGGTCCTGGTAGTGCCTCCGGCCCATCCTTACCCCCCAGTGCCTGAGGCCCCACCCCATCTTCGGGCAAGTCCGCTCGCCAGACAAGTCTCCGTGGGAGGAGCGTGCTTCAGGGAGGAATTAGTAAGGCTGCTGGCAGAGATTTAAGACATTCATCCAGTCAGGAATTCTTGGCTAAGCGCCTCCTTCGTTGTCAGTGAGGTTCTGGGCATTCAACAGTGAACACAGCACAAGCCGTCCCCAGGGTTCACAGCCCAGGGGACCAGACGGGCCAGCAGGTCCCATACGGCGAGAAGCACGCTCTGCGAGGGGCTCCTCCTGGGGCCCCGTGACGCTCCCCTGCGGGCCTGGGCCCATCCTGTCGGGCCCCACAGAACAACTCAGCTCTGCCTTCCACGTGACAGTCCTTCAAGTGTTTCCAGATGCCTCTCTTCAGGCTAAAAGTCTCCAGTTTCTTGACTGTCCTACAGCTAATGATTCGTGCTCTCACTGCTAGAGCTGGATTTTGAATGTGCTTTGTTTCATGTTTCGCTCATACTTTTTTTTGTTTCTCCTTGATCTTTCCTCAGAATCTGACAGATTCTGTCCTCAGAATTCCTCCCCTCTGTGACACCGGTCCCTCCCCCTGCCTCCCAGACTCCTCCTCTGTCTCGCCACCCTGCTGCTTTTCCACGACGCTATGAGTTCCGAGCACATGTCCGTCCTGGGCCGCCCTCCTTTCTCAGTGCGCTTCCTGGGCCGTCTAAACTCTCACCTCTGTGTCTGCAGCTTCCGTCCTGCCTTTTCTCTCGAGTCCCAAAGCCGCCTTTTAGATGGCTGCTGGGCCCCCGTTCATCCTACAGCCAGCCAGTCACCTTGCCTCCCGGGCAGCCCCTGGCCCTCGCCTTCTGTAGGTTACAAAGGTACCTTTCCTCGGCTCCATCTTGGAGTGAACGGTGATCCCTCACCGTCCCCCAACTGCGCAGCTGGGGAGACTCGACACAGTGTCTTCAGACCCCCTCCCCTCCCCCAGACCGCCCTCCGTCTGTCTGGCAGAGCTCCTTAGTGGATCTCATGAATCATCACTGCAGATAGGCGGCTCCCTCACTGGAACAGCCCTCAGTGGGTTCCTGTTACCCCCACCGCCCACCCCCCGTCCCATGTGAGGTGGAGGCTTCCAGAATAGACTGAGGATTCCTTCCATCCTGCCCCTTTCTCACACGGTGGCCTCACTAACCCCCTCGGCCTGGGATGCCCTCTTCTCCACCTGGTGGAATCCTGCCCATCTTTCTCGCCTTCTTTCGCACAGCGGCTCCACAGCTGACGAGCCTCCCCCGCGGAGTCTCCGGAGCACTTTGTTCTTGTCGTGCTCCCCCTGTGCTGCCACAGACGGCTGCGCCCGCGTTCAGCCCGTTCCACAAACACCGTGGGCGCCACGAGGGCTGAGCCTGGGGCCCGGTCTCTGGGGCAGGAGGACTACACCTTTCCTGCCCTCGAGGAGCTCACAGTCTAGTATGTCCCAGCCCTACTAGACTGAGGCTCCTTGAGGGCAGGGATCGTCATACTCGCCTCGGTGCTGCCCGCACCCGCAGGCCAGGGGCCTGCGCACAGTAGGGCCCACACAACGCTCCAATCATGGCCTTGCGCATGAAAGCTCACGTCAGCGTTCACTGAAGGACTGCCGCATTAGGAAAACTAGTTCCCAAAACTCTGCAAGGTGAATTTGTAGAACTAAATATAATGATTTCATACACACACACACATAAAATACATACTGTACCTAGACTATGACTTCTGGATCTCTTGCGCACAGTTAACGCAGGTCGTTGAGCGTTAATTCTGTTTGTTTCTGTTTGGTCAGAAGTGGAGTTTCACTTTGCATCTTGAACGTGTGTAATATGGCTCCCAAAGAGGCCAAAAAACGTAACTTTATATATAAGAGCTCTTGGACACTTACAGGTCACAGTACGTCACAATGATTAAATAGATTCTTTTACGGAGTTTTACGCAGTTTTTATCGTATCAAAGATTTTGACAAAGTAGTAAATCTCAGGGAGTCCTTACTCCAGGTCAGTTAAAAGTGTTTCCCAAATCCTATTCTCCGTGACCTTAAGAGAAAAGATCTCGAATGAACTCAAATTACCGTGGACTGCATGCATTTTGGGGCCATGTGTTTGTTGTTCACTGTGCGTTGAGAAAAGGCTCTCGGGATGATCCTCGCCCTGCCGAGTCAGACAGTCCCGGGCCACACTTCCACGGGTGGATCCCCAGGACTCCCACGTCTGTCCTCCGTACGTCCTGCGTTCTTACTCACGGATGTGAACCCCCAGAGAAGCAGAGGGACGGGAACCTGCGGGTGGCCTGTCAACGAGTGGAAGCACTCCCAGGGACCTGCAGTGAACGTGACCCCAGTGTGCACCAAGCCACGCATGTCCTGACTGCCAGGCTGTAAGGGTGCACGGAGCAGTTTTTGAATGAAAGCACCACTTAATCCCTGGGTAGCTCAGTTAGTTCTTCAGTAGCCCACATGCCAAGGAAACTGCAGTCCCAGCCTCAGTATCTGCCCTCCCGGAGCTCACGCTTCCCCTGGCACCCGGCCTGGCCCAGGGCTTTGTGCCGCCACACAGCAACGTCGCCTGTTGGCAGCTGAGTCGGGGAGGCATGTTAGGTTCATGTGGACTTTCTTAAGTCCTTTCTTGGCAAATGAGGGCAACACACTAATAAAATTCCAGTGTAAACGTTTACACCATGATTTTTGTATCTTTTAAACTTTTTATTGCCATGCAAAGATGTGAACGTATAAACATGCCAGGAAGTAAACAGCTCTTTGGTTTGTCACAAGTCAGGCACACCCACGCAGCCAACATGCAGAATAAGAAAACAGCCCTTTCCGACGACAGTTCACCCTCCAAGGGTGACCGCTAACCGTGTATTGGCTCTGCCTGCCTTTGAGCTTTATGTCAGTGGTGTCACTCAGTGTGTGCTTTTTTGTTCGTTGCTTATTTCGTTCAGCATTTAGTTGGAGGCCATCCGCGTTATTCAGGCAGTTGCCCCTCTTTCTCCTCGCTCTGTGGTGCTCCGGTTTATCCCTCCTCCTGTTGGGAATGTACATGCTTTCCAGCTGGGCTGCCCAGAGCACTCTTGTGTCTTTTTGGTGAGCGTAGGGACAGGAATGCCAGCTGGGCGCGTCTCTGAGTGTCAGCGGGCGTGCACAGGTGTAGGGTCAGTAGGTCCTGCTGGTTTTCCGGAGCCGATATAACGTGCTGCCCCCAGCGGTGAACAAGCACTCCAGTCGCCCCAGACATAGCGGTTTTGTAAACCTTTGGAAACGACTCCATGTTTCTATGCTCACTGTTTTCACATATGAAGTTTAGGCAAAAGAATATAAGTGGGAGGGGTGGCTGGGTGGCTCAGTCAGTCGAGCCTCTGACATCGCCTCAGGTCGCGATCTCACCATTTGTGAGTTGGAGCCCCACGTCGGGCTCTGTGCTGACATCTCGGAGCTCAGAGCCTGCTTTAGATTCTGTCTCCCTCTCTCTCTCTGCCCCTGTCCTGCTTGCACTCTGTCTCTCTCTCAAAAATAAATAAACGTTAAAAAAAAAAAAAAAAAAGGATATAAGTGGTAAAAGAACATAACCATTTCCCTGAAAGAACGCTGACCCAATACGTGTCACTGGGGAAGGCGCTCCGTGCTTTGAGTTGGTCTCCATCGCTGTGGTCTTCAGGAAGACCTCTTAAAGCAAACCATGTTCCTTGATGGCCGGTCTCTGCCCTCTACCGTCAGCTTCCATAGTGGTGTCATCGGAAACCAGCATCTACTAAGTGCTTTCCGTTGCCAGGCCTTGTGCCCTGAACTCTCACACGTTAGGTCATCTTAGTCCTCACGGTCCTTGGAGACGTAGGTGACGTCACCACCACCCGTTCACAAATAAGGAGGCTGGAGGGCCGAGCTTGGGCAGTGAGCCCGCTGAGTCCCGGGCTCAGGCTGTCAGCTG